TTAACCCCCTGGCTGTGAACAGATCAGTTCAAGAAGCCTAAAGGTGGGAGGGAGAGCAGCCAGGGGAGGTGTCTTCTCTCTGCAGGTGAGCAGACCCCTGGCAGCCCTCAGGGCAGCCCAGCCCCTGCTGGAACGAGTTTCCCTCTCCAACTCTTGTCTTCTGTCAAGAGAATAAAATCGATGCCCTCAACCCTATAGTTTAGGGCCTTTTACACCTGCCACCCCTCCCAGCTGCAGGACCCCTGTAAAGCCCCTCCTTGCTTGCAGGCCACTTGCTGAGCACGGCAGAGGTGGAGTCAGCCCTGCTGGAGCACAGCGCCATCTCGGAGGCCGCCGTGGTCAGCCACCCACACCCCCTGAAGGGCGAGTGCCTCTACTGCTTCGTTACCCTGAGGGATGGCCACGAGTTCACCAAGAACCTGATGGATGAGCTGAAAAAACAAGGTAGCAACAGGCAGATAATGGGGAGGTTACGTGGCAGAGAGAGGGAGGGCAGTGCTGGGAGGTGATGGAAAGGTTGAGGGCTTGGGGGCATGCAGTGCATGTAGTCTGGGGAGTGTGTGGACAACAAGGTACCCTCTCTGATTTGAAAGCATGGCTGGCCAGGACTAAAATTAGTTCCCCTGGCTTTTATTTGCTCATGTGATGCCTCCTCTACCTCTTGGGAGCAGGCAGCATGTGAAGGACTGGGGTACCTGGCAGGCTTTTGTTTGCAGCAGTGCTCTCCTGTGTGGACTCAGCTCCCACAGCTCTCCCCGGCACATCTTGACTTGCTGTGAGGATCCTTTGGTTGCTTTGGGGTTGTGCTCTGGTCTCTGGGGAGTTCTTCAATTGCCACAACAGGCTGTAGCATTTAATACAGTAAATGGACCCACAACAGTTTCTTCTCTGTAGGAACCCAAAGCAAATCAATCCATGCTTTATCAAAATGGCACTAGTGGTTGGTGTAGCCATGACAGAGGTCTCTTGAAGATGGAGAAAATGAAAAAAGGAGTCCTTTTGCCTTTGGGAGGGTGTGCTCCTGTGCTCCCAGCCCCTTTGGGGGTCTCACTGCCCCCTCCCACAGCCCAGAGGCTCAGCTCCAGCAAGCCCTCAGCATTGCCCTGCCAGGTTCCCCCAGAGCTGGGCTGTGCTTGTCTTAACTTGGTCATCCTGCCTGAGAAGGACCCGTGTGGTATCTCCTAGTACCTGCAATGAAAATACCTTTGTTTTTTTTTACCTTTTGCAGTCAGAGAAAAAATTGGGCCGATAGCAACACCCGATTACATCCAGTGCGCCCCCAGCCTGCCCAAAACCCGCTCAGGTGAGTGACACTGCTGGGAGGACTGAGGGGTTCCTGCCCTCAATTCCTGTCCAGGGGGGAGCAACCTCAGGACAGGCAGGGATGCCACAGGTCTGGGCACTCCCCCCTCCTGCTGAGGATGCTGAAGAGATCCCGACTCCTGCTGTCGTTACAGGGAAGATCACCCGGCGGATATTAAGGAAGATTGCCAAAAATGACCAAGATCTGGGGGACATCTCCACCTTGGCAGACCCAGGCATCATAAAACATCTTTTCAACAACAGATGTGACACCAAGCAGTAGCAGTGTGACCTGGCCCTGCTGAGCAGAACTGTAGCAGCAGCATCCTGAGGAGCAGGTCCCTTGAACAAGCCCTGGGAAGGAGACCTTCACCTCTGGAACTGAATGTACCAACATCAGGAACGAGGGGAAGGCTGGTCCTGGAGAGGCCACGTCCCACCTGCCTTGGAGGAGAGTGTGCATCATGTTCCAAAGGGTATTGTGCACAGAGGGACTCCTCCTCCTCCCTTTTCAGCACCTTGTTCTTGATTTTTAATTTTATTTGGGGGTTGGGGGGGATGTTAATTAACTTTATGTAATTGAGGGGCCCTAGCACAGTGGGAAGGAACTTTGGGGGCTGGAGGGGAAGTGGGGCTGGATCTGCTCAATACAGGCAGGGAAGGGAGGTGCATCTGCCACTGCACAGACACCAGCTAAGCTTCCTTGTCTCCTTGGAGTGCTGCAAGCTGCAGAACTTAAAAGCACCCTCACATCTGGAGTTGTATCTCACACCCCTTGTCTGAGCCTAGCAGAGCTCTGAAGAGGAGCAGGGCAGGGCTCAAGGGAGCTCTGTGCTTTAACCAGGGTTTGCAGAGCAATTTGCTACCAAGATCTGCTGCTTCCTACCTGCACAGTGCCAGCTGGCACCTTCCCAATCCAGGGTCCTTTGCTGGCTATGGACAGGTTAGGGAGCCACGTGTGGTCTTGGAGGACAGGCCTTGGTCTGGCATGTTTCAATAGAGCCCCACAGCCCTGTGGCTGCACAGCTGGATGCTGCTGGTGAGGCCTGGGGTAAGGGTGGGTGCTGTGAATACCAAAGGCTGGGAAAATTGGGAAAACAAAGCCCCTTGGAGGCACCTTTACCTCTGCAGGCAACCAGGAGCTGCATTATGGCACACCAGAACCATTGCCCCAGCAGAAGCCAAGGCAGGCAGGGCTGTTAGTCCAGCTGATGTTTTCTCATCAGGGGGAAAAAAACCAAACAGTAGAAGATGATTAAAGTTGACTTTTGCTTACATCAGCCATGGCTTTTTGATGGGGAAGACACCCCAAAGCTCCTACCCCAAGAGCCTGAACATCACAGGGGTACTGCCAAAGCCAATCTTCCAAGGAATGACACCTACCCCCAGTTGAGACAGTGACCTCTTGTGTGATGTGTATGAAAACTGCATGTGAACCCTCCGATTTTTTTGCACTTAAACCAAAGGTAAAACAGGCTTTAAAACTTGCTGCAACAGCTTTTTTTGGGGGGAGGGCAAGTGCCAACGTACAGGCTTTGCCTACACCCTGAGCTGATGTTTGGCTGGGAAGGATGAGGCAGCTGCCTCCAGGGCTGGGTGCTCAGGGCAAGTCTTGCTTGGTGCTCCAAGGGGCTGTTGTCCAAGTCCCCAGCCTCAGTTCTTACCTGCTGCTCTCACCAGCACAGCACGTGTCTGTGAGCTCTGACTTCCATGGGTGCCAGTGTCCCACGTACCCCCCACACCTCTGTACCACTGGATTGTGCCACCTCCTTGACAGGGATCCCCACCTCATCTCTCCCCCTCTGTTACTCTTCATCTGCTGTGGAATTTTGGCTGGAAACAGCTGGAATTTTATGCAAAATGGAATAAAATTCAAGGAAATGGAAAGGAGGGGTTGTAGGTGCTTGTCTGCTGTGGGGTTTGGGGGAGAGGGAGGAGGGTACAGACATTGCTGCTGGACCTACTGTGCCAGGGTCAGGGTGGGTGTTTGGGGAAGGGCAGGTGCCTGCCACTGTGATCCTTCCCACTGGACTGGGAGTCACTGGCTGTGAGTCAGTCTGAGCTGCCTCCCTGCACTGGGGCAAGGGCAGAAGCTGCAACTCCAGGGACAGAGCCTGTGCCTCAGTTTCTCCCTGCTCTCCAGCCAACCACCACTAGGGCTCATGGGAAGTGCCACCGACCCCACCACAAACAGTAAAGGAGGCTCAGGGCTGGTGCCAGCTGCTGTGCCACCACACCAAGCCTGCTCCTCACCCAGACACAGCAATGGATCCCACCAGCCCCAGCCTCTCCACTCTGGTCCCCAGGGTCACCTTCAGCTCAGGCCTCACCAGCACCTGCCTCCAGCCACAGTGCTCTCCTGCTCCTCTCAGCCACTTGCTGCTCCAGCAGAAGTGCAGCCACAGCTCCAGGCTGAGGGTGCTTCCTCCTGGAGACCATCTTACCTGACACCCCTCTCCCCAGCAGCTCTCCAGGCACTCGTTGAGCTGGGTCATGTGGTGGAGCCAAGTGCCAGGACACATCCCCAGGACAGAGCTGTGCTGCAACCAGAGCTGGGTTGGCTTTAGCAGCCTCCTCTAAAGGCAGGAGGGGCCCTGCACAGGCAGTGCCTGGCCAGGCAGGAGGAAAACTGCTCCCCATTGTGTCTAGTCTTGGAGAAGACTGGCCCAAGAACACGGTTCAGATTGCACATACCTTTTAATCTCTGGCTGGGGGTAATCAAGCCCCCCAAAACCACCACCCAGGAACTGTAGCATCAGTCACACACAGGAGCTGGTCAGTGCCTGGTGCAGTGGGAGGCACTGGCACAAGGCAGGGAGTCAGGGTTTGTCAGAACACCAGCTGTGACACAGGGCTCCAGGTCACCTCACACTGGGATCTGCCACCATTGCTAAGTAAGCCAACCTGTGGGGAGCCACTGGTCCTGCAGTGGGAGCAGATGCAGCCAAGGGCACCCCAGGTGCATTCTGCACTGCTGCCTGCCCTGGGCAGCACTGAGGCACGAGTGAGGATGAGTACCCACTTCAACAAAGCAGAGGGTGGGCAGAACAAGAGCAAGCAGGAGGCCCCTGGGTAAATTACACCAGGTCAGCTTTCCCTTATGCAGGATCCTCAGGCACAGGGAAACATAGAAATGGTGGCAGTGGCACCTGAGCAAAGGGCTGGAGGGGCCAGGGGCCTGTAGGGCAGGGCTCCCCTCTTCACCCTGGAAAGCACTGAGGCACTGGGCTGCAAATTCCAGAGCTGAAGGCTGCTACTGGCACACCCACCTTTCTCCTCCCCTTCCCCAGGCTTTGGGTGTCTGTGTCTCCAGAAATAATGCAGCATCAAGGAGCACAAAACAGGCAACAGTGCCTGGTGTGGAACACTCACCCTCCAGCTTTGCTGTACAGGTCCCTGCTCACAGGCTAGAGCCCAGGGGAACACCCTGACCAACACCACAGCCCTGGAAGGTCACAGCTGGCACGTCCATGGGGAAGGGCCCCCTGAGCAGGCAGAGCAAAGAAGGCCTTTCTTCCCACAGGAGGAATTACAGAGGAGAAGCTGCTGCCCTAAGGGAGTAGTTGTGTCCACACAGTCCCTCCTCACAGCCCATCACAGCACGTCAGCCTTGGCAAGATCACACTAAGGAGAAGAGGCTGTGGCAGCTCAGCTCTTCGGGCAGCAGAACAAGGTGGGTGGCACAGGACATCACCTCCTCACACCAGGTATGGAGTGTCCAGCACAGCCACCCCGGCTGCCACCCCCCCATCGGCGTGCTCGGTGGCCTTGGTCCGCAGCAGGTGGCCAGCAGCCCTGTTCATCACCAGCTCCTGGCCCTGTCTGCAAAGGAAAGGGCAACTGAGCACCCACAGAGCACCTGGGGCAATCTGAGTCGTGCTCCTGCCACAGCCCAGGGCAGGTGAGCAGCAGGAAAGGCCCCAGGGCTGAGGCAGGGATCCCTGCAGAGCTGTGCTTGCCAGCACCACTGCCCTTTCCCAGCTGGGCCATCTTGGTCTGGCTGCTCTGCTCAGCCAGTGCCAGGCTCTGAAGGCTGCCACAGGACTTGTTTCTGAAACTGTATGAGCAGGACTTTCATTTATAAGCCATGGAAACGTTTCTGTGGGCCTGGGAGGGTTTTAAACCAAAGCAGCAGCTGTTTAGGGTTGAACACAACTGCATTAAGCCTTCAGATGTTTACCAAGATCACCGGGGTGTCAGAAAAGCATGTGGCTGCATCCAGAACCCAGGAAGTGCTCCCAGAAATCAGGGATGAGACACACCAGTTCCACGTGGCTGTTACACCAGTAACTGCCAGCACCAGCTCTGAGGTTTTTCAACGACTCACTCAGCAGCAGGTTCAGAGCAGCAGCTCAGCACTGAGGGACTGCTGACAGGGGCAGCCTGTCCGCTGTCCCTCCCACCTCCCTAGAGACACCTGCCCTGCTGCTGTGCTCAGACAGAGCCACGGGGAGAACACTCCCAGCCCCAGTGCTGGCTGGAGCAGCTAAACACCCCATAGTACAAGACGTTTTCTCACCTGACATAGACACCAAAAATGCCAAGCTCTGAGATGCACTCGGACACTTGCAGGGGACTGTGAGCCCTCAGCAAGTAATTCATGGATGGCTGTGGTTTGATCTTGTCCATCAAGATGTAGGAGGTTCTCTCAGGGCTGTCTCTGATCTTCTCCAGGACTTGTCTCAGCTCTTCACCATAGAGGTTGTTCCCTGATAATAAGAACCAGCAAGTCAAGCACCTCCCAGCACAGCAGAAGCCACTGGCACCAGCACAGCAGCCCCAGCTGCCCAAACAGCCCCAGGCCTCCCCTGCCCACCCTCCTGCTGCCTGGGCTGCCCACACCCGACCCTGGGGAGCTCCTCCAGAAGCAGCAGCACCTTAATGCCAAGCCCAGCCCCATGGCTGCAGGTAGCTACCAGACCTCCACCTTTTATCCCTCAGCACAGGACCAAGAGTCATCCCAGTGCCTCTCCTGGACACAGGACAAAGGCAACAAACCCCCCGCGGCCCCTGGAGCAGCTCCTACCTCCCCCTTCTCGCTGGGGCTTCAGCACGAAGCGCTCAGGGTCAGCAATGGCTGCAGCAGCCACCTTGTCACCCTCTTCTCCCTGGCAGGAAAGGATGGACACAGCAAAGCATCAGGGAGGAGCAGGGGCTCCTCGACAGACAGCAGGATCAACAGGGTCCTCCAGGGACCACGACAGAGCCCCCTCACCTTCTTAACCAAACAGAACCCACCCCCCAGGCCAAGCCCAGCCCTGCACGCTGGCTCCTGCTCCTGCCCCACTCACCATGTCCAGAGAGTAGAGTCCAGCAAACGTTGCCCTGATTCGAGCCACGGCCTCAGCCTGGCCAGGCAGCAACCTCTCCAGTGTCCCTGGCCTGCTCAGCTCCTGCTGGACCTTCTTGGTGCCTGCCAGCTGAGTAGCAATGTCAGGGCACTTCACTGCCCTCGATCTCTCCAGCAACAAACGTGCCTCCCAGTTCTGAGAGAGAAACAGAGCCAGAAACAACCATCCTGTCAGCAAAAACACCCCAGCATTTTCTCCACTCCTTTCTGCTCAGTTATGGACATATGATTCGCCTCCTCCCTCCCTGACTGGCAGGGACAGGGGTGGGAATAGCACCCCAGAGACAAGCAGACATGCAAACATGGATTCCCACCACCTCAGGAAACAGCACAGCCAGGTTAGTCCATTGTCTTTTTCTGCAGCCACCACAGCTTGTCCAGTGCTGCCACCTCCAGCCAACAGCGAGATCTGCTCTGTATTATTTTCACTTGCAGCCCAACAGTCCTAGTAGAGGACAGAGTGTGTGACCTGTAGATCAAGTCTAAACCCTTCAAGCAGGTACCAGGACCTATATTAACCCTGCACTGAAGCAATTCAGTGCTGCAGTCAGAGGCCACCACATGGGTGGGTTTTGGAGAACAAAACCACTCATTTTCCCACTGCAGGA